CTTGCGGGGAAAAAAAAAGGAAAACCACAAGAACACGCCGCCCCCCGCCCCCAACCCCCCCCCCCCAGAAACTCGATTCTCTTTTATCGCTGGAAGCTTCTGGCTCCCTTGCAGTCTTAGAGCACCTCTGCCTCTGCTATGGATTTAATTTATTTTCTTATTTTCATGTACACTGCTTTTTTTCCCTTTTTTTTCTTTTTCTTTTGGTTACTGTGTATGATGGATGTGTAAGGGGAAAAAATGTATCTTTGGAGAACAATTACATTTGTTAATTTGAAGGGGGGTGCCGGTCTTCACCTCTGTCCATTTGGGGGAGCGAAGGGGGGGGATGTCCTGGCAGGGTACCCGGAGCCTCTCGGCTTTTAAATCCTTCGCCTCGTGTCCTTCGGTGCTCTCTGACCGACAGGAAAAAGAGGAGCCAACAAGACAGACGGGTTTGGGTCCCAGTTGCTCACTGTCTGCAGACCTGAGTCCTTTGGAACCCCCTGCCACAGGAATGGCCACCAGCCTGGACATCTTTTGAGAAGGGGATCGAATGTGTTTTTAAGGATGGCTGCGTCTCGCCTCAAATATCAGCTCCGGATGCCACAGAATATGACCCAGGGTGCAGCTGGCCTCTCATCCTACAGAAGCCCTTCATCTGATCCTCCGCAGCTGTTTTGTTTATTCCGATCCACGGGAACCCACAGTGGAAACAGCTTTGCGCTTAAATATTTTGTGTTTGTTCTTTAGTCCAGTTGGGGAACTGCAGTGCCCTTTTACACTGAACCTCGTCTTTCTTAAGGGACTTCTTCCCATCCCTGCATGATGCCAGCCTTGCCTTGAAGTTGTGCCTAAGAACTAACGCCCTCCCCGGAACATCCTGAATTTTTAAGACCAAGCCGGTCCACCGCCACCAAAAGTCCCCTTCCTAGCTGGCAAGGTTTTCCAGAAGCAGCAGGAAGTTTCGCCTGGGTGGGAATAAGGCCTGTTTGTTCCAATTAGCCGTCAAGGGCTGGAATTGCTGAAGTTGACAAGGGATCACGGCAGAAAAGGCGTTATCAGCTGGAACGGGTTCTGCTGGAAATGGGGGAAACCACAGCAGAATCGACGCCTCCAAAAGCTGACGGCACCAGGCAAAGGGAGAGATTGCAACCGAGCCTCTCGGGTTTTCTCTTTCCTTGAACGTTTTAGGAAAACATGACAGGCCAGCTTATGGAACAGATTCCGTTTTTAATGATCCAGTGTTTAATGACTCCAAACTGGCCTCTCTTTGCAAAATCCAAAATGAAATTACAGAACCGTCCCTCGTCCTGCTAACCATACACCAATTTATGTGACAGCCTAGGTGTGCGTGGATCATGTCTGGAAGGAACCCGGGTGGGGGGACTCCAGCTCCCATCAGCCAGAGCTGGCCTATCTCAATGACCAGGGATGATGGGGGATGTAGTCCAGCTTTTGAGGGGCCCTGGGTGCCCAAACCCCTAGGATTTGGGGCGGTAGAGGCTTATTTCAAGCTACATCTTCCTAAGTCACAACTTCCTTTTTACATAGGCTTCATTCAACAAAAAAATACAATTTGTGCGAGAAACAAATGGCAGGTCCATCACAAAAGATACCTGACTTGCCCCTATCTGGGGGGTTGGGGCCAACAATGCCCATCTTCCTTAGCACAGGGGATAATGTGAGTGGTAATCCAGCTACTGGAGGGGGTATCAATTCCTTATAGAAGCGAGAGGCCCAATGATCTGTTGATCCTCCACAAAGGTGGAAGAGCAGATGAAAACCCCAGTGAATCTTAGGAAAGCTTTCACAATGGGTCTCCCTCACCTCAACCCCCCCTCCAAAAAAACAAAGTTGAACGGCTGCCAACTTGCTCGGTGTCCTCGCTGGAGTGCTTTCGATGCCTTCCTCTTACGCTGCTCGGAGGACAAACTTCAAAATCTGTGGCTGGAAACAGCAAAGAAACAATATATATATATTGGGACATATATCAATTTTCAGATGGACAGACAGAGAGCCCGCAGCCGAAACATCTCTTACCTCCTCTGATGGGCCAACCACGGTCCCTTCTATAATCTCCCTCCTCATGAGTTGATGGGGTAAAACCTCTGGCAGAGAGAGAGAAATGCTATTTTATTTATTCATATGACTTGTATGCCGCCTTTTATTTTCTCCTGCAGGGGACCCGAGGTCGCTTGCAAGAACTAAAAACGACGGTATTTTTTTAAAAAAATAATACTATATACCGGTAAATATATTTAAAAACAACTGAGCATGCTTGAAGGGGAAAAACCCATTTTAAAAAGCTCTCAACGGTATTCAACGTACTATATAAAGATATTAAAAAACAACTGAGAATGTACCGAGATTAAAAACCAAGAAGAAAAACATCTTTAAAATATTTCAAAAGCACTCAACGTTATTAAAAATTAGCATGCATAAAGATTAACCAAGCTGAAGACCTGTTTGAAGACACGAGTCAAAAAGGCGTTACTACCCTCTATAGTTCCTTTTTTTAAAAAAAAGCAGAAATGCAGACTTTTTTTTTCCAACGTAAGCACCCAGATTTTTTTCAGCACCCAGCAACATCGGGGGGGGGAAGGGGGCTGCTGGCATGGTGCCCTCCCCCCCCAAAAAATATATATATACTGTATATGGAAAGCCCTCTGGTTTAAATCCAGGTTCTAATAATAACAACCCTGGAATGGCAGAGCTAGAAGGGACCCTCTGGATCATCCAGTCCAGCTCCTGTCAAGGAGGCACAGTGGGGCGGGGGGATTCGAACTCTCAACCTCTGGCCCCGCAGCTAGATGCACAACCCACTGAGCTACCCCGATGTTCTGCAGTGGGGGAAAATGTACAGAGGCATGCATGCGCAGCCAAAATTGCTTTGGGAATTAATGCCTTGGGTCCCACGGACCTACTCCTCATCCAGCGGGAACAGGGACGCAAGGCGCTTACCATCCTGAAGCACGAACGGCTGAGCCAGAGGGCTGATCGCCCAGAACCTGTCCTCGTCTAAGTGCCGCAGGGAGTTCAACGGGACGGCGATCGAACGCCCCAAATCCATAAAGAAAACGATTGCCAGATCTTCTCCCTGGTCCAAAACCCAGCACCTCAAGAGGAGAAGCAGAGAGTAAATACATTTTTCATACAAAAAAAATCCCCATTTTTATTTTCATCCAGCCCACGGTTCGGTTTCCTCTGGAGGAGACCCAGAAAACCCGGCGTCAACTTGCGTCGAAGAGAGTAATCGCAACAACCTTCTCGCCGTCCAAGAGACACAGAGATTTCGGGCTCTCTTGCCAAAAGCTCTTGGCAGAGTTGCAAACTGGAGAAAAGACTTTTGTACATGGACACCTTTTTTTTTTTGCAAAATAGTCCCAAAGGAGATACTGTTTAGAGTCTGAAGCAGTAGATGGGTTGCTCGAGTATTTCTACGCACCCGTGAAGTGTTTGCTCATGCTTTGCTTCTCAAAAACAGGGAATCCTAAAGACGTTTTACAGCAAGACACCCCCGTCATGGTGGCGGATCGGTTCCAAGCCCTCCCAATGGATACCAAAAAAGGCAGATGGTAGTGAACACTCTTATACTAGCAAGTGCTCTCGCTCATTCTAGTGGCCAGCTCTGATACAGTAATTTCACCTTTAGAAATATCTACCGTATTTTTCTTCATGTATAAGACTATACTTTTATCTAAAATCTTTAGACTAAAAATTGAGGGCCGTCTTATACACGGACGTAAGCTGAGGAGAGAACAAAAACAAGTGGAGGGGAAAGCAGGGATCAAAGCAATCCTGCAGCACTTTGATCCCCTTTCCCCTGCCCTTGCTAAGCCCCACTTAGATTTCTTAATTTTGGATTAGAAAAGTGGGGGGCGTCTTATACATGGAAAAATACGGTAGTTCTACTTTTTTAATATTTTCATATTGTGGATAAGTGAATCAGTGGATACTGATCCTGCGGATAAGGAGGTCCTACTGTATACAAAGAGGGGAAATGGCTCTCAATCTCACTCTCAAGCTGGAGGTGAAGAGACGTTCATGGGTCTTTCGAATGCCCGCCTTAAGTGTCCCCAACTGACCTGAGAGACAGGCTCAATCCACTCCCGGGCCCCTAACCTGTTCCAAGCGGTCTCTTCCTCTCCCACACTACACTCCGCCAGGCAACGCATCCCTGTCTGGACATCCCGTTTGGCCAGAAATGGCAACCGGCGCTCCGCTTCGGCCAAGACCGTGAACAGCGTCTGCATCTTTTGGTGGCATTCCTGCATTGGGAAGAAAAAAGCAGCGTACGCAAAATCCAGCCACTGCTAAGTCCCTAGCCCTCATTGTGCAATCAACGTTCTGTGTAAAAGGAAGTTCTCTTGTTTTCGCGACCCACGTGCGCCCATCCGTGCCCCGAGGGCAACTTCTGACCTCTAGGCCCTTCCCAGTCGGGGCTGTTTCACCCCAAAAATGGTGACTAAAGACCTTAGAGGTTACTGAACAACATTCAGCTGCATTGCAGTGCCTGGCCCCTGTTGCAGCTTTTCGTGGGCAGAAGGGGGGGGAAATACCACGATTTTGTTCTGCTGGACAGGAGTGAGAAAGATCCACTCTGCCTGAAGCAAGGGCCGAATGAATGGACACAGTGCTGGGCCACCCATCCCAGGCGCTCGGCAAGGGATTATGGGTGCCGTAGTAGAAGGCGGACGTCTGAGCCAGCGCACCTCCGGTACGAACCTCCGTCAGGCAGATAGCCCAGAAATACGGCGTCTGCGGGAGCGTGTCCATCACGAGGAGCCCCGTTTTCCCCTGGACGTTGGCCACGGAGAACAGCCACGTTGCGTCCTTGAAGCACTCCTTGCACATCTGCAGCAAGAACGAACTCCTAGGGAGGGGTCAGGGGTAGGATTGGTGAGACGGGGAGAAAAAAGCAAAACAGTTACCGTATTTTTCGCACCATAAGACGCACTTTTCCCCCACAAAACGGGGGTGGAAAGTCTGTGCGTCTTATGGAGCAAAGAAAACAGATTATATTTTCCTGTTTTCTTCTCCTAAAAAATTGGTGCGTCTTATGGAAAGGTGCGTCTTATGGAGCAAAAAATACGGTAATCAGTTTTTCCCCCCCAAAAGGTCATCAAGACCAACCTGGAGAGACGGTGAGGTTGGGAAAGCCCTCCTAAATTAGCCCGGCTAATCCATGGGGACAATCGGACTCCTTACTCTTATTTTTATGGTCTTGATACCATCTCCTATTGAAGCCCTGTTTGGTGAGCTTCTGAAAACCGGACAAGACGGATTCGTTCAGGGTGGTGCGATATTATCCCTTCGATAAGGCTAATTAGCTCAGGGGGATCCAGATCGCTAAATTTAATTGCAATGTGATAAACTGGCCAAGACTAGCAACAAACTGGAGGTTTCTAAAACCACATCCAAAGTTTAGCAAATTCCCAACGGTGTTTATTTTTTCCACATTTTTCTCCTTAGCTGTCCCCATTGCAATTAACACCTGCTTTTCAAGGATCTGGGCTTTTTAGTAAACGGTTTTAATTCCACATTCTTGACGTTCGTCCTTGTTTGAATGCTTCTCAGTCACTTTCCATGTATCAATTTTTTTAAAATCGCAAAGCGCTTGGGCGGGGTGGTTTACAATATTTTCCTTGCAATGAAAAATGGGGAAACATAAATGATGATTGCAATCGTTTCAATAACTGGGGTAATCAATCCGCAATCACATTTCTATCAAGAGCAATTTCTCCATCTTTTGCGCTTACCGCATCTCCATGGGAACAGCATAACGGACCTCCCGCATTACAGAGGGACAGAGCTGAGCATCGCTTTTTGAAACAGGATCTGGAGGAAGAAGAGACGGTTGGTATAGGATGTTTATTTAAATTGGGCACAGCTCTTTCAAATCGGAAACTTGGATGACAGGCGCCAATGCAAACAGAACGATAACACAAATACAGATTCCTGAAACTCCGATTCTACCTCCTTAAAAAAGGGGACAAGAAATTTCCAGCGTGTATCAATCCCAAGTGAGCCACGCTTAATCTATAGGATTGGTTTGCTTTTTTTTTCCTCTGCCCTCTGCAGCGTTTTTTCCTCTAACGCTGTGTCTTTTCAATCTGTAAATCCACCAACATCCATGGCCTTATTGTGATGATGCGTCGGCTATTCCCAGAGATTGGGAAACTTACTTCTGATGGATTGCCAGTCCCTAAATCCCTGAGCTGGCGTTGCAAGGTGGGTGAGAAAGGAGATTTCCCATGAAACCAGGGCGTCCTGGAAGACTTTCTGGCCAAAAATACTAAAAAAGGTTTCAAATCTATACACTGATGTCTTCTCTCTCTTTGATCCCTGTTCCACTGCTTTTGGGAAACATCATAAAGCTGCTCCAAGCCATCGGCTGCACCCCGGAGAGGCGTCAAAGGCATGCACCAAAATGAAATGAAGCAGAGAGGAGAAGATAAACTTCAAAGGACAACGTACCGCAATTAAGTCCAAGTTCTTCCCAGGGCACCTCTTCCAAATCCTTAGAAAGACAAAAATTTGCCCCCCGTTACTGTCCCGAAACCCAGACACGCAGGCCTACCTCGCAGGGTGACCGGGGTGAGGGATCATCGTGAGAGAGAGGGGAAGGAGGGACTGCGCCCAAACTTTTCCGGGGGAAAGGACCCAACTAAAATATAATCCATGATTATCCGTCTCTCAGTAACGACGCAGGCCTAATTAGCTCCCACTTAAGAAGTCTAGGAAAATTTGGACAGAGGAGTAATTTGATGGCGGGGGAGCGGAGACTGGATTTTTGGGGAGGAGGCTGGAAAGGAAAAAAGGAGGAGGAAGAGGAGGGGGCCTTTACCGGCATCTCGGCGGTGTCTGGAGGAGATTCGTGGACCGGCTGCTCTTCATTCGTGGCCCTCTGTACCGGCATCTCGGTGGTGTTTTGGGGAGATGCGCAGACCTGCCGGTCCTGTTTTGTGGCCCCCTTTGGCAGCTTCTCTGTCCTGTTTCGGGGCGGCCCGTGGCCCTGCCAGTTGTCCTTCAGGGCCACCGTGATCCGCTGCCCTCCCCACGGGATTCCGTTCAGCCTCTGGACCGCGAGCTGCGCCGCCTCTGGGGAGACCAACTCGACAAAGCTGAAACTGAGAAACGGAACAAGGATCCAGGTTATCCGTTGCCCGTCTTAAACCTTTCCTAACACCCTCGCAAACCAAGCCAACGCCCAGAGGCCGTATGGGGTTAACGGAATGATTTCCCGTAATTCTTCGAAGGACTTCCGTACTTATTTAAATCCCACTGAGCTTGTTTTTTCGTCACGTTTTGCCAAAAAAATCTCCTTTTCTATCATTCAGATCCATCGGTTCACCTCCTGCTCGCTATAAAGAAACCACGTAATGTAACCTGAACGCCGGAAGGAATTTCAACGGCGAGACGCATACCTTTTGAAATTAGAAAAGAATTTCTTCACAGACTTCACTCCGAAGTCCTTAAGCAGAACGGCAATTTCCACCTACGTGGGAAAGCAGAGGAAAGAAACTCACATTTTGATCGACTGTGCCACGTATTTTTGAATAATCATAATAAACGTGTGCCATTCAAGGTAATTTTGACTTATGGGCATCCTTTTTAGAGTTTTCTAGGTAGAAAAGACTCAGAAGTGCTTTACCCTTTCCTTCCTCTAGGGGGAGCCCTGAGACAGTGCAGCTTGCCCAAGGCTACCCAGGCTGGCTTTTCTCCCAGGAAGCACAATGGGGGGGATTCGAATTCCCAACCTCTGGCTCCACAGCCAGAGACTTAAACCACCGAGTTATAAATGCCTGCATGATTGCGGTGGCCAGATTAGAAAGAAAGAAAGAAACTGAGAACAACTTCTTTCTGAGAAGAAAAAACCCAATTAATAAAAAGTGTCTAGGCATCATCCTTGTTATCGTCATGTTTTCCCCAAGGAAATGGTACGAGAAGGGCTGAATTCAAAACCAAAACACAGATGAAGAATAAAATCCCAAATACCACCTCCTTGACATGCAGGGGGAGATTTCCGATGAATATTTCCTTCTGCTTATTCTGGGAGAGCCCTGGAACAAGGCAAATGGGAGAGACTCTGTAAAAAAACCAGCCAAGTTAACAGCACACAACCGCCACCATCCTTAAAACTTTTTCTGGTTCTTTGAGGGTCAGGAAGAAAAGGAGCAGCTCTTGGAAATTAATTTAAATGGAGTAGCCAAAGATTTTGGGGGGGAATTCCCATGTGGCTGAAAGACCTGATCCTGCTTCCAGAGTCTTTTAATTTACTCGCCTCAGCGTTTGGTACTTACAACGCTGGCCCTTTTTTGTACTTTTGAGGTTGCTTGTTGACGGATCTCTCACTTCTATAAGGCATGTCTTTCTTTATCTGCTTCTCCAAAAAGTATTATTAGGGTGGAGAAAAATCAATGATTTTTAAAACAAAATCAAAGGGATTTCAATCTCGATTTAAATTTTAAAAAATAATTTTTAAAAATTTAAATCTGATTTTTTTAAAAATTAAAATTATGGTTTACCTTGTGATTTAAATCGTGATGTACATGAATTTGATTTAAATCACATCCACCCTGATGACGATCAGAATATTCATAGGTATTTCCTTAAATAATAATAATTGTTGCATCATAGGTATTTCCTTAAATAAATAAACATAATTGGTTAAATATCAGTGTAATTATAACTATAATAATAATGAGTATTATTACACAGATATGTAACTGATACTTAGGTTTTTGATTAAAACTTTTAACTGAGGTTTTTGATTAAAATTTGACTCTTTTAGATAATACTAGTCAATTTTTTTATAATTTTGATGAGACTCTGTCTGGTATTTTTGCATGATAACGATGATGATGTTATTCTTTCAACGCATCCGTTGGCTTGACTTTCCATTAATGGAAAAGCACCATTTTTAAAGCTTAATGCAATAACGATATATAATGTTCTTTTCAAAATTTTGATAGACTCTGTCTGGTATTTTTGCATGATAATGATGATGATGTTATTCTTTCAACGCATCAGTTGGCTTGATTTTCCATTAATGGAAAAGCAACATTTTAAAAGCTTAACGCAATAACGATATATAATGTTCTTTTCAAACTCTGGGCCGTAATAATGGTCATTATTGTTATTACGAATAATTATTATAATTAGGGCGATGATCGGTAAGCTGCTTGGAGCATCTGTCAGCGGCAGACCCCCCCCCCCCAAAAAAAACTCTCGCCTTCCNCTGCCCTCCACCTCGGATGGAGACCTTCCACCCCGACGCCCCTCTCGCCTGCCCAGAAAGAGCGCAGGGGACGCCAGAAACAGGACACAGCTAAAAATATTCAGACAATGGCTTTCTGACTCTTGACCCCAAGCAGGGGGAAAATATTTGGTCCTCCCGGATTCCCCCGCTTGGAAAATCCAGCAGGCCCACAATGTAGAAATCCAAGGTCAGTGGGCTGCGGGAGGGGGGTTTCAAAATTACGGTTCCCATTTCCCACCAAACGGGCCCCCCCAAATCACCCCACCCTACAAATTAATACAGCGTCTCCCACACTCGCACTGCCTGCCTTACAAACTTTGCAGGGGGGAAATGAGGGCTTTAGAAGCACCCCCCCCAAAAAAAAGTCAATTTTGCTCATTTTTGCCCACGATTCGAGCGGCGTGGACGTGAAATCTTGCCCAAACTTTCGCAGCGCAAAACCTACCGCCCATTCGGAGCGGCCCGGGTTTGGCTGGCTTCTTCTGGGGCTGGGCCTCGGCCCGGCCTTTCCCGCGGCTCGTCCTGCAAAGCGAGAGAGACGAGAAGCCTTCAAAATCCTTCCCGAGTTTTAAAATCAAGTCGCCCGACTTGATCCCCGGAGATATAAAACCCTCGCTGGACGTGTGTGTGTGTGTGTGTGTCTTAAAACGGGCATATTTCCAGATTGAAATGAAGAATGAAAGAGTCAAGCCATGGAATGCATGCAGGCTGGGGACGATGGGTATCGTAGGCCCAAAGGGTCAAGGGGCAGTTGGCTTGATTAGCCGTTGAGAAGACTTTATTTTATTTTCACACCCTGTTCATATTCTTTCTTGGAGTTAAAACCTCGGTTTAATGTTACTTCATCTGCTACAGCTGTCGGTTTTAAATTTCTTTTTTTTTTTCTTCCCCCAGTGGTGTTAAATAGAGACTGGGGTGTGTCTGTGAAATAAAACTAGGTCTGGCCACGTCTCCCTGTACGAGGCTACGTTTTATTCCTGCCTCTGTCGACCGCCCTCGTTTTTCTGAATACTCACATCCTCAAAAGATCCAGAGAGAGAAGAGCGACCTAGAAAATAAAACCAGAGGTTAATAGTCTGAGAAGACCAGGGAGAAAGAGAAGCAAAAAAAAGGGGGGGGCCCTCCCAGATGTGGCTGGACTACAACTCCCATCCGCCCTGGACAGCACTGTGGATAATGCTGGGATATGTAGTCCAAAACATATGTAGGCCTTCACCTGCTCCACCTGATCTCTAAGCACCTGTAAGTTCAG